CCCCCCCCCCCCCCCAGTGTTCGAATTCTAAGCATGGCAATTCGAATATTGGAGATCTTGCTATCGCCGATGACCCTTTCTTTCTAATATTCTTTACATTGATGCCTCACTAAAAGCCCTGCCAGAAAACCCAATTGGGACAAAAACTAGATGAAGGGAAAAAGAGTGCAGTACATACTTTCAGAATCAACAAGGATTTTCAGCAATAATACCTTTTGAGGTGAGTCACATTCCAATTGCTTGGCAATTTAACTCCACTTGATTCTCTAATTGATACGAACCTTTTCCGATTATAGCAGAAATCCGGTAAGGTCTTTCCCACATTGGTCCCAGCTTCCCGGCGTTAACTTCTCGAGTACTTTGAGTTACTTTCCTCTAAATCAAATCTTTGATATTTTAATGTCGAAGATTTGCTCTGCAGTTGTAATATCTTTCCATTCTTTGCTTTTATGCCATCATCCTTACATACGCCAGATTTTGATATTCTTCAAGAAAATCTAGTTTAATCAACAGTGGTTCATTATTTGCTTCCTCGTTTGCTCGGGAATACCTTATATTCGTCTCCCCAATCTCCAGTGGGATCAAAGCTTCCGCACCATACACAAGTGAAAATGGTATTTCACCCGTGCTCGATTTTGCCTTTGCTCGATATGCCCACAACATACACGGTAGCTCATCTGGCCAATTACCTTTAGCATCTTCTAACTTCTTTTTGAGATTCTGAATTATTATCTTATTAGTAGACTCTGCTTGTCCATTAGCATTTGGATAGTATGAAGAAGATATAATTTGTTTGATCTTCAATCCTTCCAAAAGCGTTATGACTTTGGAACCTATAAATTGTGATCCATTGTCACAAGCGATCTTTTGGTATTCCAAACCGACGGATGATGTGATCCCATATGAAATCCATCACTTCTCATTCTTCGATCTTTTTATAAGCACCTGCCTCAACCCATTTAGTAAAATAGTCAGTTAAATAAAATAAATCTTACTTGCCCTGGACCTTGTGGTAAGGGACCAACAATGTCCATTCTCCATTTCATAAATGGCCATGGTGATATCACCAAATAGAAAAATTCCTCCGGTTGATGCACTAATTGTGCATGATGCTGGCATTTATCACATTTTTGTGCAGATGTCTTCGCGTCTTGCTCCATCCAAGGCCAATGTAGCCAATCTTTATCAATTTGAGAACCAACGAGTCTACACCGGAGTGGTTCCCGCACACTCCTTCGTGAACTTCCCTCATCACATAGTCAACTTCTGATGTCCCTAAACACTAAGCCAATGGAATTTGAAAAGACCTCCTTTACAATTGACCGCCAACAAGACAATAACGAGGTGTTTCAGTCCATAGTGCTCGAGATACTTTTGGATCTTCAGGAAACTTGCCATGACTTATATACTCTATAAACTCAATCCTCCAATACCAAATTAGATTGGATCATTTAACTTCATAATATCCATCCACATCAAATACCGAATGCAACAGTTGAATGAACGCCCCATAATCATCTCCTTTCATTTCCGTGGACAACCCCAAATTGGTCAATGCGTATGCCTTCATGTTTTCCTCTCTCGGAATGTATATAATTGACCATTTCTTTAACCGGGAAAGTAATACTTGAACCTTATTCAAGTATTGTTGCATGCGCTCCACCATGGTGTCAAAATTTCCATACACCTAGTTCAACTAGCTAGAATCGTGCTTTATTTCAATTACTTCGGAGCCTAGTCCCCGAGCTAATTCAAGTCCTGCAAACAAAGTCTCGTACTCGGCTTCATTGTTAGTTAGTGGCACAGTTCTAATGGCATGTCTCAGGGTTTCTCTCGAAGGAGTGATTAATACTATCCCGAGACCAGACCTTTTTACATTGGAAGCTCCATACGCAAACAAGGTCCAAACACCTGATACCGTCCTCGATACCAACACTGCCTCTTTAGCAGCTAAAGGCATCAGTCCCAAACTAAAGTTAGCCACAAAGTCGGCCAAAACTTGTGACTTGATCGCAGTCTTGGGTTTGTATTCAATGTCGAATTCACAAACTTTGACTTGCAATATAGCCAATCGACCCGATAATTCAGGCTCATGAAGGACATTCCTTAAGGGAAAAGTTGCCACAACGGCTATGGGATGACATTGAAAATAAGGCCTAAGCTTTTGAGAAGAGACTACGAGAGCTAGGCCAACTTTTCAAGGTGTTTATAATGTTTCTTCGCTTCCGATAAAACTTTACTAACATAATAAACAGGAAATTCAGACCAGAACATCACTTACCGCTACTTCCGAAACTGCTAGATAGATTAACAGTTGCTCTCCTTCCTTCGCTTTTGACAAAAAATGAGGGTTAGACAAGTACCTTTTTAGGTTTTTCAATGTTTGCTAGCATTCCGGAGTCCACACAAATCGTTCTTCTTTTTCCAAAGCGAAAAGGAATGATGACATTTCTCTGAAGACATTAAACCTGCTCAGAGCCGCCAACCTGCCAGTCAACCTTTACACTTCTTTCACACTACCTAATTGATATGGATATCCTCGTGGCTTTGATCTTATTGGGGTTTACTTAAATTCCTCTTTGAGAGAACAGAAACCTAGGAACTTTCTAGAACCAATCCGAAAAGTACATTTTTCAGGATTGAGCATCATGTTGTACTTTCTCAGAATATCAAATGTCTCTTGTAGATGAGACAAATGATCACCTGCATTAAGATCCTTGACCAACATATCATCAATATACAACTCCGTTATTTTACCAATTTGTTGTTCAAATATTTTATTAACGAGCCTATGGTAAATGGCTCCGGCATTTTTAAGCCCGAAAGACATCACATTATAGCAGTATGTGCCAAAATTTGTGATAAACGATGTTTTTTCTTGATCATCCGGTGCATCCTAATTTGATTATACCTGAAATACGCATCAAGAAAGCTCATTAACTCATGCCCGGCCGTATCATCGATCATTTGATCAGTGTTTGGCAACGGAAAAGAGTCCTTAGGGCATGCCTTATTCAAATCTTTATAATCTACACATATTCTAAATTTATTATTCTTTATAGGTACAATTATTACGTTAGCTAGCCAATCGGGGTAATTTACCTCTTGAATTGAACCTATATTCAGTAATTGTGTTACCTCTTCTTTGACAAACCTTTTTCTGACCCCTGCTATCGGTTGTTTCTTCTACCATACCCGAGGAAAGTTGGGATCCAAACTCAGCTTGTGGACATCCACCTCTAGTGGAATTCCTATCGTATCTAAGTGTGATCACGTAAAACAATCAACATTAGCTTTAAGAAAGTCAATAATTCTTAATCTGAGTTCGGGACTCAACCCCATTCCTAAGTGAAATTTTCTATCTAAGAACTCCGTGAAAAAGGCCACTTGTTCGAGCTCTTAAACGATTGATTTGGTCGCATCCATTTTCTCCATTACCTGAAAAGACCTCGGTACCTGATAAAAATCCGATGACTCCTCTTCTCCATTATCTACAATCGGGGTGGAAGAGGGCACCGGCTACTATAGTTGCTATTTGCGTGTTTCTTTCCCCTTAATACGGGACAAGGTAATTGCGTTCATCTCTCTTGCAGCCAATTGATCTCCTTTGATCTGCTTGACTCCCTCCGGTGTGGGAAATTTCAGTAATTGATGATAAGTTGAAGGAACAGACTTCATTTCACGTATCCAAGGCCTTCCAAGGATCACGTTGTATCCCATATCGCCATCTACCATTTCAAACATAGTGAACTTCGTTACGCCTTCGACATGTGTGGGTAGTAGAATCTCTTCCCGTGTCGTTACACTTTTTAAGTTGAACCTGGTCAGAAGCCCTGTTGCTGGGACTATGATTCTGGTTAACTTTGCTTGTTCCACAACTCTCCATTACATAATATTGGCTGAACTACCTGGATCAACCAACACACGTTTAATTTTAAAATCTATAACATTAAGAGATATTACTAAAGCATCATTGTGCGATAGAAGAAGTCCATCATCATGCTTTTATGTGAAGGTGATGTTGTCTTCTGCAGCTTCTCGGATCCTCTTGCCATGAGTTACCGATATCTTTGTCTTCTTTGCTACTAAAACGTAACCACATTACCTCATCATTCGAGGTGACCCTGATTTGGCTGGCTTCCCAGCATCTCGATTTTTCCCATAATTATTTTTGGCTCGATTACTTAGAAATTCTCTAAGGTGACCATTCTTCAGCAATGATGCAGCCTCTTCAAGTAGGTGACGACAGTCCCCAGCCCTGTGACCATGTGTCCCACAGAACTCACATCATAGATTAGGATCCCGTCGGCTAGGATCAGATCGAATTGATTTCAGAAATCTAGCCTCCATAATATTCCTCATAGCCGTCACTAGTTCTACTAGGTTGATGTTGAAGCTATAATCGGACAATAGGGGGTATGCTAAATCTCGGGACCCTGATGGTTCTTTCTCCTATAAAGCTCTGTTATTCCGACCACAATCTACTCTTCTATCAACAGCAATCCTGTCTGATGACTGGAAACCTTTACTTTCTCGCCCCTCAGCCCCTTCGTAAGGCATAAAGAGACTCATGGAAGACCTTCAATCAACATCGAAGTCAGTTTTGAACTTGTACTGATTCCGATCACGATTACGTCCTTTAGAAGACACCGAAGAGCTGAGTTGATCATCTTCAATTCTGATATTTGATTCATATCGATTATGGACATCTGCCTATATAGTTGCCTAAATTTCTAATAGGCTTTGCTTTAAAATGTCTAGAGGCATCAGAGCTCAACGGATTGAGACCTTTGGTGAACACTTCAGTTGCCCACTCATCTTGTACTGCCAGCAACAACATCCTCTCCTTCTAAAATCGGATCATGAACTCTCGCAATAGTTTGGATTCTCCTTTGGCTATTATGAATATATCCACCTTTCTAGCTTGGACCTGTTTTCCCCAGCATGAGCTTTAATGAAAGAAACTGCAAGCATTTCAAAAGAGTCAATGGGATGCTCAGGTAAAAGAGAATACCATGTTAAAGCACCATTTTGCCAAATTTCTTGAGTAAGACAGATTCGATCTCGTGCGGGGCCAAATCATTTTCCTTTACTACCGTAGTATAAGTTGTGATATGCTCATGTGGATCCAAAGTCCCATCATACTTCAGAATATCTGGCATCTTGAATCTTTTCGGGATCAACTCTGGGGCCGCACTTGGTTTGAACGCAGTTGCGTATATTTTTTTGAATCTGATCCCTTCAACATTGATGTTGCTCCTGGGATCTAATCCATCCGAGCATGAAATTATTTAGCATTTTTGTCCATTCCCTCATTCATCTCCCTCATGAATCTCATGAGCTCAGTTTTGAAAGGATCTTTAGCGTTGTTGTCATTCTCGAATCCACTACCGGCACCACCTGTTTCATTTTCATTTAAAACCAAATCCTTCTCTCGGAGCAAGATTATCGGTTCTTTGCGCTATTTGATTTCCGAGCCCGTTGGGAGGAATTTGAACTACTCCATTGGGGTTATTGGAAACAACCGAGAGCGCCTTCTTCAATTATGTCATCACCTCGTCTTGCCTTAGGAGATGCTTCGAAATTTCCCTTTGTTGCTCTGTAAAGATTTTGACCATTTCAACAATATGTTCATCATCCGCATCATCAGGAGTTGGACTTCTAACATGACGAGGATTTTGTTCTTCACGAACTGGAGTTGTCTCATCTCCTTTGTTGCGAGTTTCTCTAATTGACTCTTCCCGCTGGAACACATCCTCTCGCTCGCTGTGTGTTCCAACATTGTAAGCATTGTTCTCATCGTTAGCTGCCATATGTGATTTTTCTTTTGCTAAGAAAGGAATCAAAACTCGTTAGTAACAGATGAATGGATCAAAGCAATTACACAATTGTCTATGCCCCACGGTGGGTTCCAAACTGTTTACCTGTAAAACGGTATAGTTGAATTTGTAACTTGATTTATAGACACGTGAATTAATTTGATCAAAAAATATAAAATAAATAAGAACATAGATAAGATTATAAAATAACTTGAAGGAAATACGAGCCTGGCTATGAGTTTAGCTTCTCCGATAACAGTAACAAGAACAATATTAAGAATAAAGTAAAAAGAGCAATTT